CATCTAAAATAACTTATATTTTTTTCGTGGCAATTAGCACACTTTTATTAAACGAAAGCTTCACACTTGATAAACTAATTTGCGGCTAGTTGTATATTAAAAAAAAAAAAAAAAACAAGAAATAAATAAATAATTTGCAACGTATAGATAACATAATTTTTGTTAGCCTAAATTATCAATTATGATACGAAGTTGCAATTTCGTTCAATACAAATATTAGTTTTAAAATAATTGTACACAGATAGGATTGTTTGCGGGCGATTAGGCACGCGCAAATAAATTAAACAATTTTTACTAATAATGTCATTTGTTTTTGGTGTGCAAAGCAATGGTAATAATTGAAAATTTTTTGTGGCGCCAAAAGTGCACAACTTAACTGCTCAACAATGTGTATTTTATTATTTATTTAATGTGTTTTAAAATAAAATAATTTTATAGAAAGGTAAAATTGGGATTAAGCTAAAAAATTTAAGTTGTTGAAGTGACACTTAAAATTTTTGGGCATAAGTACATACAAACGTTAAATATGTAAAATGCGGTTTTGTTGTTATTACTTTTATTTTAATCACTTGATTTCGATGGCAGGACTCTAAAAAATGTCATTGGTTTTTGCCTTAAGGATGAAATTGGTGCGATTGGATGAGTTTTTTTTTGGCAGTTATTGCAACTATGACAGCACTTATTTTCTATGAAATCAGATAGTATTAAAAGGCGTTCAAGTCCGAGTGCCCAACCAAAATTAATTGTAAAATACAAAAATAAAAAATAAAAATTCATAGTATTGATTCCAAAAGAAAGAGAGTAAATTGGTATGCGGGTTAATCTATCACAAAATGTAAGGGCCATTAAAAAAATGGTTCCTTTTCACCTCCTTTTGTTTGAAATAGGACCGCATATTCTATAGCGCAAGCGAGGTCCATCCCGGTTCCCGGCTCAGCGCGTCTTCAGTGTATGTATTCAATTTGTCGTGGAAATTGTGTAACCTGAACTAGCGGCTGAACTTCTCGGAACAAAGAGCAATGCCGTACACGCAATCAACCCACATATCGGTGATGCGAATGATGTATACGGGCAAATCTCCTGTAGGAGGGAGGCAAATCGGTTTTGTTGGTCTCAGTTTAGTTGTCGTACATGGTGAAGACTTTTGTGATATTGGAGGGTTTATCAGCTTTTAATTTCCAATACATAAAGGGATTACGCAGTACCTTCCTTTTGCTTACCATTGACGATCTACTGCTTTCTTGTGATAAAAATGCCTCTACTGTTGAGTTGTGACCTTCCGAGATATTGAAGAAGTATAATTCCAGAGGCCATAACAAATCGTACTTTAAGCCGGCTTGGAGTGGTTTTTTTTGTGGAACTTGACGTATGCCACAATGTGACAAGCTCTACCCAATTTTTTTTCATTAACGACGAACTCCCTTGTATGAGAGATGGAATTTCGGTCAAGATGTTTAATGATAGCAAAGTATTTTCAATAAAGTATAAAACACCGCCAATAGCTTCACCGGAGCTTAGAGTTTTCAACCTAATTCCCATTAGAAAATGTAAATTCTTGACTTTACTCTAGAATAGAAGTGAGCTGAAAACAGCATAGCTCTAATAGAAGGCTCCTGCAGCACTATATTCATGCAAGGGAGCCATAGGAAAAAAATTTAATTTGAAATCAAGTATTTGCTGCTGGATTTATAGAGCGGTTGCTAGACCAGTTCACCCATATGGAGTTTGTATATTTCCATATTTTCTAATACGTTAACAATGAATGAAAAAGAATGAAGAAAAATAGCAACAAAACAATAGACATTGACATTCCAAACACGCCAAAAATTACCAACAGGACAAAAATCACCATCGTTTACTTACCTGTAGGTAAAACCATACAGCAACAACATAGCGAACGCTAATATCGAGATGGCGGAAGATTAACCCATTACCTTATTTTACAAAAACGCCACCATAGCCAAAAACCTGAACCAGAAAGCACGAAAAATTACACTTAACTTAAATTACACTAAACCAAGACTTGACAAGGGATGACTCAAATTCATTTCAAAATAAATCATTGTGGCACTTATACATTTATTCTTTTTAGGATTTCTATAATTGTTCCTCAGAAAAAATATATATTCGTTTAGTAGTTTAGAAACTAGAAAATGTATTACTTTCTTCTTAGAGTTAACAAATTTTGAAGATTCGCATTGCCATATTCCGACTCAGTGTAAAAAAGTCTACAGGGCAGCATCAATTTAATTCCCAGGCCAATAACCCTCTAGGTAATGCTATCGAACCTCAATTATAGAGTTAATAAAAAAACAGTACTTTTACATTTATAGCTTTTAGAGAGATCTGATAAGATTCTTGGACCGAATTTCGGATGGCCTACTTAAGTAAGGATTGTTGATTGATTTCCACAATTCATTTTCAGATTATACATTTCATCTACACTTAAATGACCAATATTGGTTATTTAAATAGGAGATATGCAACCCTGTGTTTGATTGATTGGTAGGTTGTTTTATCAATTTTGTAAAGGAAAAATCAGCTGTTCTGTGCAAAATGTAAACAAACAAGCAAATGCAATAACAATTTCAAGGAGCTAGCAAAAGTGTTGCCACTTGTTTGGAATATTTAAATAAAGTTGATCTGAAACCAAACGAAAGTTAAATGGCATCGAAACAGCAATCCACAATTAAACATAAGTGCCGTTGAAATATTTATTTGAAATTGGTGAATCTATAATTTACTTCGAAAGCCTAGAACAGCAATAAAATTTTCTTAATTAAGTGGAAATGCATGGAAAGTTTTTAGCCATGGATAGCCTGGTTATAGTTTGACTTATTTAAATCGCAATTGGCCCCTGAACGATGTGGTCGGACTAGATACTCTTGACAGACTCTATATTAGGTTTTTGAATGACCATGTTAATTATTTATTACGGACCATATTCTATGGTCTATCGGACTTAAATTTTTTTTCAACTCTATAGCAATTATAAAGAAGTTGATTTTCGACTGACTTTTGACTAGTTTTTTGTCTTATGATTTGGGAAAGAGTCTCCTTGAAAGTTCGTGGTTTGGTTTACGGAAATGTTCATCGTACCACAGCGCGATGTACATACATATCACAGCGCACGGCAATGTGCGCGAGTGGCGAAAGCATGTGTACATTAGGGTGGTCCAAAAATGCATGCGAAAAAGTAAAGTCCGAATTGTTATGCTCTCACCCCCTATGATGGTTACATACCGCAAAAAGGCCCAAATTTTTTTATTTAGAAAGCAAAAAATATTTAGAGGTCGCTCAAAGCGCTCAAAGTTTTTCATGTATGTTATATAATAAAAAAAATACTTTTCGTAGAAATGGTATATAATTCTTGAAAATCAATATTTTTTGATCGGAAAACTCTGGTTCTCTCCAAGAGGTTCCCAGTAATCATACCTAATTATTTCTTTAATAATTTTTTCATAGTAACTATATTTTATAGGTCCGCCAAATAAAATAAATAAATAATTGGGTATTGCTATTGGAAGTCTCTTGAAGAGAACCAGAGTTTTCCGATCAAAAAATATTGATTTTCGAGAATTCTTTACCGTTTCTACATAAACTTGTTTTCCCCACATAAAATACATACACAACCTCTAAATATTTTTTTGATTTCAAATTAAAAAATGCGGGTATATTTTTTTCGATATGGAACAATCCTAGGTGGTGAGCGCATTGAAATTCCGACTTTACTTCTTTTTGGACCACCCTAATTTACATACATACTCAGCATAGAAGTAACATTGTACTGACATTTCGCATAACTGCTATAGAAATTTATAAAAACAACTAATTTTACCATGAGTTTAACAAATCAGCCTCAAGTACACTCTCCCTCTCAATTACACAATTGGTATTTTGGCTTCTCTCTTAAATTCTATCAACAAAAGCAAAGTGCAAATACTCGTATTTATGTACATATGTAGGTATATAAAAATCAATTTGTTTATAGTTTTTAAGTGCTCTCTTAATCGCTCGCTTTGCTTCGCTAAATAATTCTTCTCTGCTCATTCTCTCACCAATTAACGTAGACACTTTGTTGTGCCAGTGCACACTGATAAGCCTCATAGCGCTATTTGAATGTACCTTGCAAGAAAATTTGGTACCTACATAAATGAATAATGAGATCTAGAACATTTTTGTATGCAATATGTCGCTATGGGAAGGTTTATGTACATAAATACTTATCTTACCTTTTGAGAGCTAAAAACACCTTCGATTCAATACAAAATGAAACAATGCAAAGGTCAAGGTTTGACAGAGTTTCCCTTAATTTTGGTATTTTTTCTCCACGATTCCATTCACTGCATTTAACTGTGTTTTTTATACCTTTCATGAACATGAAATGGTATTACAGTATATTCCGTTTAGCTGCCCATTCGCTTAGGTGCATTTTCCACTTACTTGCACAATTTTGCCAAAATACTGATTCACAAATCATGAAATGGATTTTGGACCAAATTTACACTTTTAGCTGCATTTCTACTTAGCAACACTTTTCCTTTTAACAGCCATGCTTTTGAGTAAGACATCTTCGATTTTTACGAAAAATACTTCGCTTAGCTTCGCAATATATCCCTCTTTTTACGAACCAGTGCGATGTACCCTCATCTGAAATAAGTAGTGGCGATAAAGATCCAGATTTTGCAGTTGCAATCATTTTTACGTAGGTTTTTCCGACAGGGTGCTTCTTAAGTTTTTATTTATGTTTCCAACGTACGTTCTTATATATTTACTTATTACAAGTATTTATGTGTGACTCTGCGTACATTCACAAATAAGCAAAGAAATTGTTGCAAAAAACAAAAAAAAAATAAAATTTATTAGCTTCGCTATCTGTCAATTGCCTCTTTCTGAGTGCTTAAAAAATGAGTAAAACAAAAGTGCAAAACAAGTTTCTCTCTAAATTTAATATAAACAGCTACATATGTAGATCCGCTCGCAATCTTCACACTGAGGTTTCATTTGCGAGAGTCGTGGTCCCGCGTACACAGCTGTCACTGCAAGCAAATAACAGATTGGATGCAATATTTCTTGTGTGCACTCACTCATTCGCGTCGCTGCGCTGTAACTTGGATAAACCGTTAACCGGCTACATTTTTTTAGATTCGCTTAATTATTTTTGCAATTTTATTTAGTGTCAAAAATATATCGACTTTAAGTGCAAACAAGTTTTCTTTCTATAATCGAAAATGATTCACGTATCTCAGGATATTATTGGCAGTACCACTGATCCAATAACAAAAGAGGTGGCTCACATATATCGCTTCACTCTGGTCAATGATCAGACCCAAATGTATGTGCAGGTGAGTATTTAGTGGCTGTTGACGAATTGTTCAAGTGTTTCGCGTCAATTTTGCTATCGTACCACTTGTTGATTCTACAATTTTGCTTGGAAAATTACTTCGTAGATACGATAAGTGCACAAACGGCAGAATGTGGCAGATAGATACCATACTTGATTTGACCTTGACCTTGCCAGCTTTGGTTGACTACACCAAATTGGGATATATGTACATAAGTACACACAGAGAAACTTTTTGTTTCTTAGTTATTTACGCATGGCGATAATTAGCAAATGTGGAAACATAAGCAAAAAAAAACTGTGCGGCTAGTACGAGTAGAGGCCAATAGACTGCACCCGAGCTAGTCCTCAAAGATGATATTGGGCATTAATTAGCCGCAACTTATCGAATAAGTGTAAAATTGGAGCTTATTTAATTCCCATCTCATTGCTTACAGTTTCAGAAATTAAGTCTCATATACTTTCGATATTACCAAGTACAGTTGCCTAGAACCTGACATTCGCAGTTTGCTGGCGGGTCAGCAATATTAGCTTGGAGTCGTGGAAACTTTTTTTTTAGTTTCTCTCCGTGCCCTTATAAGCTTAGAGTAAGGTTTTAGTCACCGTCGAATTTCGAGAACGCATAACATCTCACCCCGCTGATATTTCATGCAGAAGAATCAATCAAAAAATCACTGTAAAGGCTACCTTCGCGTTTAAGGGGTTGCAATTTTTTATCTCCACTGCCCATTTTTTTAAAAAATTACATCAAAATTAGCGTTAGTGACATGCTCTTTTTTAACTAGTTTCTTAGTCCCCCGAATCAGTCGAATTAGATGAATATACGCTGTTGCTGATAATTTTTCCGAAACGATTTTGTTCTACTATTTTAGTTTTTCACTTTGAGTTCAGGATTGTTTTAAAAGGACTTTCAAATTATTCATTTTCTTTATAATTTCACTGCAATGTATTTAAAATGTCCTTTTAAAAGGATGAATTTCGAGGATGTGGTGGTGCGTATATAAGTCCTTTAAATAAAATCATTTTTAAATACATTTAATGATATTCAAGGATAACATTCTAAAAGGACTTTCTCTGTACCTATTCGTCCTTATGCGCCAAAAAATTTTTAAATCTTTAATTCTACACAATTTGCTCTTTTGTATGATACCCATATTGTAATTCTACATTGCACTGAGTTGTTTAACACTCTCAAGGCCACAAGCCTATAGTTGAAAGAACTCATGATGTTTTGAAATGAAAAACGTTATTCATCGCGAGCTAAATACACAAATTTCCCATTAAAAAATATTTTTTTTTTTAACTTACAATAATTTTAGCTAAAAACGATTTTTTTCTAATTTGTAGATAATTTTATAAATTTGTTCTATAAAATAATTTTTTCCAAAACTATTTTATTTTTTTAAGAAAAATTTTTTCTTAAAAAAAATTATTTTTTTCTTGCATAACTTTTGTTATTTTATAATTTTCTTAAATAATAATTTTTTTTAACAAATTTAAAAAAAAAAAAATTAACTCAAAGATCGTTTCCTAAGAAACTACTTATTTCCCTTATATTTAAAAATATACAATAAATATTATATTATTCAATCTTATTAGCAAAACTAATTTTTGCTGATATCAATTTAACGATACAGAGTCGCCAAAACGAATCTGAATGACCTTTCCAATTTTGACAATTTGGTGTTGCTCAACGTAATTTTACAAAGCTTTATTAGTTTCACAGCTTCTTTCGTTTCTTCTCTCGCGAGTATTTTTCAAGATTTGTGGCATTCTTGAATAGCATTTTTGAAAAATAATCCTTTTTATTAAAGTGAGTATTGACGGCCCACGATTGCAATGGTGGGAAAAAAATTTAAATTTTTGCAGTTTAGACTATCCCTACAAAAGAGAAAGGAATACGAATTATACGAAATATGTTAAGGTCTTTTACTATAATAAATTTGATTTCTCGAAAATGAAACGGCACCTACTGTCTGAGACTGCAAAATACACCAATAGCATTTAAACAATCCCACATTTCAATCGCTTTGCAAATCAACAGCTGTTGTACTTTTATCCAACACAACGGTCCAAATCCGAACCCAAGCTGTCAGTCATACTTAGCTTAAAAACCAACCCAAAAAATTGAAAAAATCACAAAATTAGGGTGGTTCTTGAAATATTTGCATCTACATCTTTTTTCTACGTAGTACGTACGAAATAAAGACATTTACGAAAATTTTTAAATTAAAAACACACTTGCGAAAGCGAGAATTTAAGAATTCATGTGATAAAGTTTCAATAGGTATAGCTGGTCCAAGTAACAATTTCGTCGAAACTTTGCGGTTTTAATAAAATTTGAATTTTTCTAAACTCTGGTAATAATATTTTCTTTTCCTTCTAAAATTTGCATGAATGTCTTTGCTGTAAACGTGGAACAAAATAAACGGGTGCCCTATACAAAACTTAAATGTTGATACTTTTAAGGGCCACCCTAATGCACATGCTTATGTATAATGCACTGCATACAAGCACTTATTCCTCGATTGAATAAAAGGAACACGTAAGCAAATGTGGTAGCATCATAAAATTGACGACCGACCGCTTTTAACTGCCTTTTGCCGAAGTAGTTGAAAGAGACATAAACACAGAATGCCATTTCCGCAATACGCATAGGCCATTTTCATGATTCCCATACTAAGGCAACTTTATTATACATAGCTTTCAATGGCTAAACAAGAAACTAAAGAGATGAAGAAGAAGCCATTGAAACCCCTTTCCCAACTCTTGCGCACTCTTCTCCTCTTCAAGGCCACTGCATATGCTGGCCATAAAAATAAAAAGGCCAAGGAAACCATTCTAACCACATGGCCGAGACAATGGCTGCTAGCAACAGCAATACCATTAATGTATCAGGGTTCAATGACCTTTTAATATCATCGCTGACAATTGAGGCGTGTTAAGGGAGATGTAAAAAAAGAGTTTTCCAAGAAGTGACAAAGTTAAATGCGATTGTGAATTGGCTGTTGTTTTGGGTTGCGAATTGTACGCGTGTGTGTGTTTTTTTTTCGGTGTTTATGAGGCGAGATTAGAACCCGAAAATGATATTGACACTATTAGTTAGGTTAATCGAATGAGGCAGTACGCCCGCTTTAACTTTGCGTGACGCGTAGCATTGAAATGAACGAAGGGTAGATAAGATGAGGCCAAAAATAACTGTGAAATCAATATTAAAAAATATATCAACAACAAGGGATTGCACGCTCAATTATCACATCCTGTGTGTAAGCCAAGTTCAGTGGCTGGTGATAATGACTTGCTGGGAAAACATGGTCAAGGAGTTGCAGCCCAAATTAAGTAAAGGAACGAAAAGTATTGGTGGATGATATAGAGTATGGTAGCAGATATTCTGGGTACAATACGTGACACGAAACTTATTTACACAGTCAAAAAATGCTATGCAAAGGGCAAAGGGTGCGGTTGATGAGACTCATAATATTCTGGGCATAAGCCAGTTTGTGATTGTCCGCTGTCATAGAAAATTATACCTGAGCGATTAGTTCCGTAGATCTTATCAACTTCTTATGAAAAAGGTTAAAGAAGAAGCATGATGGGGAGTAACTTTTCCTGAAAACTTGGTATCGAACTGCTCCAGGGCACAAGGAAGTTAGCAAACGCGGCGTATAGGCATCTTTCTTTTGTGCTGTCAAAGGTGACTTTAAAGTCGACAGACAGTTTGTTCAGATTCTACCACACAGCTGCCGGGTTTATTTGTAGCAGCCTCTCGGTTTGACGTTAAAGTAGGTGCCCCGCCCTTAATGGGACTCGGATTTTTCGGGATTTGGTTGCTCTAGACGGAGTCGTCTCCTCAGTTCCAGCCATTAAACGATTTGCGACCGGTCGGCCCAGACCTCCTCTCTCCCACTGCTACCGCAGAACCGCAGGTCGTCCGGTAGCCGGAGCGCTCCGTTCGAGACTGCATGGCCGTCTTACACCTTGTCCAACCCGAAGCTTTTTTTCAAAAGTTTAGTTCCTCCGTTGACTCTTGGTTTTCGAACAGCTATGGTTGGCGATATATATTATGTTTATCTTTATGCCGTACTTAAGACCTCTCACCGCGGCAAGGTGGTCAACCTATATGTATATGCAACTTCTAGGATATGTACAACACTTAAAAAAATTAGAGTTTCAATTAACCGATATCAATTGTTTTTTTTTAATACAAGGAAAGAAATAAATATTGATTCTTACATCCACGGCAGTCGAAGGATGAATTAGGTTCTTTTTTTTGGTCTCGAAATGTTTCTGTGTATATTCAGTAGATTAAATCTGAATTTCAGATTGAATGTTCTAACTTACCACTCACTTCGCACTGTGTAAATAACAAAGCATGTACATACATACATACGCCACAATTAAATTGTCCCAAGGGAACCGCTGAAAATGCAAACATTATCCTTGGATGTATGTATGCATGCACTATATGTATACATATGTACGTATTTTTTTTTCATTCCCAATATTATTTATGCACAGCAGTTTCAGGCTTCACGTTGGAAAACGAATACTTCGGAAAAATACAACATACCAATGCAGTGCGTGCGCAATAAGGTGGGCCGAAAATGCACGTGAAAAAGTAAATTCGAAATTTTTACGCTCTCACCCTCTAGGAGCATTATATACCGAAAGAAATATACCCCGTTTTTTTTATAAAAAAGTATTCAGATTTCGCACAAAGCGCTCAAAGTTTTTCATGCATTTTATATGGGGGAAAAACAACTTTTCGTGGAAATGTTATAGAATTCATAAAAATCAATATTTTTCGATCGGAAGACTCTGCTTCTCTTAAGGAGACTCCCAGTAATAATACTCGATTATTTATTCAACAATTTTTTCATAGTAACTATATTTATAGGTCTGCCAAATCCCCAAGAAAATGCCTGAAAATGTAATGGGGGGAAAAATAAAACATCTTTAGTATTAAAAAATGGTTAAATAAATAATTAAGTATTGTTGCTCGAAGTCTCCTGAAGAGAACCAGAGTTTTCCGATTGAAAAGCATTGATTTTTAAGAATTCTATACCAAATATTTTTTAATTTAAAAATAGAAAATAGGAGTTTGTTTTTTCGACATAGAGCAATCCTAGGTGGTGAGAGCATTAAAATTCCGGCCCTACTTATTTTGGACCACCCTAATGCGCAATGAAAAAAAGCAATCCAAAACGGGCCACGGGTGCCAAAACAAGGCCAAAACGGGGTTGGTGAGCACTTGAGATGGTCAGCTTCCGTTGAAAAGCCTCGACCAAAAATTCTCAACATTTATCTGCAATGTATGCGCAGATTGCGTGTGTTAAGGCATCCGTGTAGCAAATGAAGAGGGCAGCAGAGAATGAGGAGACGTAGAAAATCTGAAAAATAAGAGGTTTTCTGTGAAAAGTTTGAGTGATGTTCATTTTGCTAAAAATTCATACAATCATATATGTATATATCATATATACCTTAAAAGTACTTCAAAAGTGCACTTCGCGAGCCAGTCTGAAGCTCTTCAAGAGCATCCGAATGATTTTATTCTTAAAAATATGCATTGACACTATTATTATATTTTTTTTTGCGCAATTTACATTTTTCCCCATAATAACAAACAGTTAATAATATTTGCTTCTTCTACTGATTTTATTGCTCTTTATCTCTATTTTCATATCGTCATCCTGGAAATCGCACTCGGCCTTGCAACATTTCTGTTATGCCAACTGCTGTACCTACTTGCCTTCTGTGGGTTACATACTTATTATGACACTCTCTCACGGAATCAATCTTTTTCTTAACTGACCCCCAACGTTGATTGCGGTGACACCGGTTGCAACTAAATGGATAATACAAAAAAAAAATAAAAAACATGTCTTGAATTTATAAATAATAAAGATCCTATCTTATGGTGCAACTATCTACTCGCTCAGAGTCGCTGATGCCAGTGGCAAATTGGATGACGTTGTTCTTGGTTTCGACTTGTTAGAAGGTATGTAAGTGCGTGAACGTAAATACTTATGCGGACATGTATGTATTTTGAATGGAGCACTCCTTCATTTGGTTCTTCGTACAAAATAAAGACATCCCTAAAAATTTCAAAATTTATATATTATATTTTCTTGGTAGCAAAAATTCTACAAAATTTTGACTTGAAATCTTAAAACTTTGACGTTACTGAAACTCATTCGTATAAATTCATACATCGCTGTTCTGGTTAATGTCAATATATTGTCGAATTTTTGAGATAAAAAAAATTTTCAAATACATAATTTTTTTTTTTAATTTTGAAAATTTCGTTGATGCTTTTGTTTTGTAAAGACCAAGCTAATGTATATATTTTTATAAGTATGCAAGTGTCTATCCAAAGACTGATTGGATTTTATAAAATTTAACGTTAAGCCGAAAACAAAAGTAGAAATCGCCTTCCAGGGGAAACACTTCTTTACCAAAAGTTTACTAATTTTTTGCGAGCTTTAATAGACTAAGATCTAGTGGGTTACCTGTACCTGGGACCTGTGATCAATTTTATGTATTTATTTATCAAGCACACAACTAAACGAACTTTAGAACAAATAAAATTTCTTCTCGACCCATGAACCTTCATTATACTCTAAGATGCAACTGTAAATTCCGATGATATGATGACAAATGTAATATAAAAAGGCGACTTCAAATACAATATTTTGCCAAAACAAATGTTTTCTTCGAAATTGACTTGCAAATAAATATCTGGGCTGTAAAGCGAACTTTATTTTCTGGTATGGTCTAATGTAGATACATATATACGCATGTGAAAGTATTCTAAAAAGTGTCTTTGCGAAAAAAAAGTGGTTCCTCTCAACTCTGAATAGCCCTTTTTCAAAATTTTCTTGGGCAGTTATTATCAACAAACTACCCACGGCTTGGGAACTTTAAGAAACAGGACTAGCAGTTTACATATTAAAGCGAAACAAGGCAGGCTAAAGCATTCCTGGTGAGCATTCTGCGAAGGCGTAGTAACCTGTCATGAATCTTCCGGATTCAGGCTCGTATTTACAAAAGGCTCTGCACTCTTGGAATACTCGTTAGTAGCGAGGAGTTGCTTTAACTTCTCCTCGATGCATACATATCTCCCATGAAACTTAGCCTCAGGAAAAACATCCGTTTTCTAATAGCTTCTTAGTTATATAGACTCGGGAGGTATTTTTTCGCTGATTGGCTGCCATCTGCGCTAGTAACATTGTGCGAAGGTACATCCCCAACCCGTGGAGAGTCAGAAAGACGCTTTTACCGAAGGCCGGAAAGTATTACATCTCCTCCTTAGAATTCAGAGCAATCAGTCTCGCTTGGTTTTTTCTTAAAATCCTGTAGAGACTGATCGATAAGTCCGTCTTTGGACTGTAGCCACCGGAGGATCTGGAGAGGAGAGGATGTCTAATGATTTTCCATGTAAATTTGTGAATAGCCTTTGTGATCTGATCCAGGAGAACCTTTTGACTTAGCGATCAGAATCCAGACGAACTCGCTTATAATTAGATGACCACCTTAGAATCGGTATGATGCTAAGGACCACTTCCACTATCAACCACACAAATTACTGCGTATCTTTGCTGGTACCAACTGGCTTTTTCTCTAGTTACGTGCGCTGAAAACCAGATTTTTAATGCATCACTCCTCTTTCGGTCTCGTCTGAGTATTTCCTAGTCATACTTCTATGGGTTCCAGGCCACAGTGCTATTGGAGGTAATTTCTCACTGAGAAAATCGAGTGCTGGAGTACCTTTGATTACATGTAGACTACTCTTGGACAGAGGGACCTCGTGTCAGCTCAGAGTATACAGGTTGAAAATAAGGGGTGTGTGTTACTGTAAGATATTTCTGACCGAGGCTTACAGTGCCGGCGGGCAGACAGGTGCCCACCACCGTTCTTAACTATCTATGTATATAGATATAAAACTCTGAGTGGGAAATGAAACTCAAATGTTGTCTTAAGCAGCTTGAGCATAATTGGGTGATAACTAAAATCATTGTGGTTAGCACTTAAACTACATATTTATCTTTATCTGAATTCCATTTTCCTTAACGGATAGAAAAATCAACACTCAATTATATATTTTCTCCTCTTTTTTGGTTATCCCCATTTTTGACAGACCATTAAAAAACGTTTTAGAATATTCTTGAAACCTATGTCAGCTTGCAAAATCTAAAAACCAAAGCGAATAAAAAAATAGATGGCAGTATTAGTAAGTGTACATGCATATGTGCACATAACTGTCACAAACATACTTTATACCGCACCACGTACATACGTGAACCCATTTCCCTTTAACAACGTCGCAAATATTTTACTGACACTGCTAAGACAAGCGAAGAGCGACACAAACAACTTAAACAGTGACAGCGCTAAGCCAACCAGCGGCAAGTGAGGCGTCGGATGCAAAACGTATAGCCGGAAAAAATAGAAAGAAGAGTAGAGCAGGCGGAAATGCCGGATACACACGAGCACCCGGCCAGCTGGATTGGTGGTCAGCTAGAGACAACACTTCGTGCTTACCACTACCACGTGTGTGTAAGTATGTGTCCGTAACTGTGTGTGTGCAGCTGTTTGTCCATCCAGTCTTTCGGAGTATTTTTTCACACATTTTTCCCATATGTGCTACGCTAGTTTTTGCTTGCTGCCGCTGCCCACTTGCTTACGTACATACTTACTTGCTGCTGAGGGCCAATTTGGTGTTACCACTTGTAACACTTCGAGGGTAACAAATTTCCCACTTAAGCGGAACTGACGCGTTGCGGCAGCGAAGCGGAAGACAAAAGCAAAAATTGCAATTCATGCCCGGAAAAAAACCATTGAGCAAACAACAATGACAACAGTGGCTATAAAACATACTAACGCAGGCTCTAAAACAAAAGCAAAACGCACCAACAACGATGCACCCCGACTGACCTCAACAAAAATGCGACTTGTCTGCGGCTGGTGGCTGAGTGCAGAGAGTTGAGAGGTCATGCACCGGATATGGCGCAGTCTACATAGGACTGGTTCCAGCCATAAGCCAGCGAATACTGCATTTTCGGTTACTTCATAAGCTCGTATGCCGCTGACGACAACAAATACTAATACATATGTATGTATGCATGCATATGTGCTTAGTTGTTATCTGCTCAAACCGGCAACTAGCAAGCTAGGAACAAGTGGCTGTTTCAACTGCCACTAACGCTGACATCAAGTGGCGCGTCGCGGCGCATGGCGTTGACAGTAGCGTCCGAGGTGACAGCGGATGTCGGATGGCGGATGATAATAGTGGCACTTGGTATGCAATGACCACTTCCGGTTGGTATGTTGCATGTCACAGCAACAGCAGACATGTGTGCGCGCTCTCGCAGACGCACACACTTCAGCAGTAAAAACTGCAGTAAATCCGTGCTGAGCACGCGCTTAGGAGACACGAGCATTTACCCTAAAAAATAAAGAAAAACTACATATTTTTATAAACCTCTACCGCTTTTACAGTTTCTTTTGCTTTTGGCATATTTTTATGTCAAACGATTTCTCATGCACATCCTGCGCTGAGTTTTGCTCCTGGTGAGAATTTTACGTGGTTTCAATCTACACAGTTTGCTTTTTTATTTTGTTATTTTTTTTAATAACTTTACCTTGATTTATCACCTTTACTTATGTATCTGGGGCGTTCCATACCAAAATGAGCGGGGTTCACACTTCATGTGTTTGATTTGTTTCAAATTTATAGGGTTTATGGATAAACAAAATATTTGTAGTTTTCCAAATATCTCGAATACCGGGTGAGGAAAAAATTTGAAAAAAATCACACATACACACATTAAAATTCTCTATAAAAAGAAATATCTAAAAAAAAAATTCTTTAAAGATTTTTCACATACAAATTTTTTCATAAAAAAAATTAGTTTTTGAAAATATGCCATCTCAAAAATATTAAAAAAATCACAGTGGTAGATCTGAGTATTGCGCAATATTTAAGTATAGTATTATGGGGTGCACTCTACAATATTTTGAGTTATGAATTTTTTTTTTACACCGAATTTGAGTAAAAAGAGTACATTAAGAATTTACAAATTTTTAGAACTTTTTTTAGATATTTTTTGGGTATGCATTTTTGTAGCACATTAAATTAAATTTAGTATAATAAAGCGTAAGTTTTAAGCGATTGCTGAACGGGCGTTAATTTTTTTTTTTAATTTCTTTGAAAACGGTTTTACGCATTTTCTTCCATAAGAAAAAAGTGCAAAAAGTCGTCAGCATAAAAAATATTAAAAGGCTACGCAATTTTCCAGTAGCTTAAAACTTGCACTTTAATGTACTAGAATTTAATGGGCTACAAAACTGCATACCCAAAAAATTCTAAAGAAATATGTAAAAAATTTGTATATATGTAATGTACTTATTTTACTCAACTCCAGTGTAAAAAAAAATTCATAACTCAAATTATTGTAGAGTGCCCCCCATAAAACTATACTTAAATATTGCGTAATACCCATTATGATTTTTTTTCATTTTTTTTTTTGAGATGGCATATTTTCAAAAACTATTTTTTTATGAAAAAATTTTAAAGTTTCTAAAAGTGTATTAATCAAGCTTAAATTTCATATTTATTTATTATTCATGTTTATCCATCAACCCTAAAAAAGAAACATATGAAATGTGAGCCCCGTCCATTTTGGTATGGAACGCACCATATGTGGTATAGTTTAAGATTTATTTTAGTTTTTTTAATTTCTCGATTCTGTCATATATTGTTGTTTTTTTGTTTTTAATTTTTTATGTACACATACATATTTTTGTTTATTTTCTTCCTTTTCATTTGCTTAGAATATGAACAACCGCAAAATCCTTACTTTGGCGCCACTATTGGACGTGTTTGCAATCGTATTGCCAACGGCAGTTTCTTTATTTATGATAAGCCAGTTCAAGTTACGAAAAATCGTGGCAACAATCATTTGCATGGTGGTAAAATCGGTTTCGATAAGGTACCCTGGGATCTGAAAGAAATTCATGTGGATGGTGTTACTTTCGCTCATCGTTCACTTGACGGTCACGAGGGCTATCCAGGTGAAGTATACGCCACCGTGCGTTACACACTCACCGAAGACAATGCGCTGCGCATCCATATGACTGCAAAAACAACAATGACAACTGTGGTCAATATGACAAATCATTCGTATTTTAATTTGGCCGGACATGTGAGTATACCATAATGGAATGTGGTTGCATAGCAATGCGGGGGAAAGTGGGGAAAACACAAATTTTTCTTATATGCAGAGGTGTTTGTGTGAAGCTTTGTTCAAAGAGTAAAAGATTGAAAGTTGATACAGTGGCCGAGTACCTCTAGCATAAAGGTGTCAACAATAATTTAAATGACTAGTGGCATGAGTCGCGAATTTCTTTGTTGAGCGTATGTATGTATTTAATGCATTTTAGTGTGGCGTCGAAAGATATTGGGCCATATTTTTGTTGGTCTCAATGTATGTCTGTATTTACACCATTGATAGAAAATGTCATCGCTATTGTAGAAAAGCCACACATTTCAAACGAGGTCGTGAAAGCAAATTTTATTGTTTGGAAAATCGATCTATCCCGACAGCCAGTTCGAAAACGCCCTATCTCAGAAAACCTTTCAAGAACGCCTCCTTTCAATATGAATTCAAAGTCGCTTTGGTTGGAATTCACTCGGAAGTGAATTACAGAACCTACCTAATTTGTGTTTGTTTAATTCGACATCGCTTTCAACAAAATCGTCTATGTAAATTGTGTTTACATTTTCTAAAAAGCGGTAAAATTGCCTCTTGTAAAAGCTGCTTAAGATGTACCAAAAATTTATTTTTACTCTATAAAAATTAAAATTAAAATAAGTTTACAATGTCCATATATAATTCCCTCTCTTTTGTTTTCATTCTTTATCTCATTTCAATACTATGCATCATGTCAAAAACACACACAGAACTCTGGCAGGAAGGGTCTATATGAGCACAATGTCGCAATTTTCGCAGAAGACATAACCGAAACGGATGAGGAGTCAATACCAACAGGCATTTTTAAGCCCGTAGTTTTTACACCTTATGATTTTCGCACTATGGAAAACCTAGGCAAACGTATACAAGCACTACAGCCAGACAAGTTGGGTTTCGATGATAACTTTTGTGTGCCACGAATAGATTTGGATGCAAATGGTGTAACGCCAGTAGCTAGGTAAGTAAGTGAAGACGTTTCTAAATTTCTGTATAACATACCTCTCAAAAGTGTTCAGTCATCTAAGTTAACATTAAGACAGTTTAAAAATTTTGTTGTAATATAGAAACGGTTATTTTTTTTGGTGTACAACGGGGAATAAGAATTGAAAATTTCCTTTTAAAACTTGATTTTTAAATATCCTTGAAAACTTCCAATATATGTATATTTTGCAAAAAAAATATGTTAAGGAATAATATATTCACGAACACCTTCTCGAATTTCGTCCTCCTAAGTTTGTTAGTCTAGGATAAATAAATTTGTTAGAAGGGAATTTTCAATACCTATTCATCCTTCTTCTTTTAATCTACAGAATTTTCCCTTCCGTTTGTTTGCAATAATATTTTGAAATAGTCATATCCTTGAAATTTCAAAGTTCTTAAAAAAAAATCGGGCATCAGAGAGCAAAAGTAAACTTAAAGCTTTACAAAATTTCGATAGAAATGGTTTGTTTGTGTCATAAGGTGCTTCACATTTACGAAACGATGGCTGAGTGAAAGATCGACCTATCTCGGCAGCCAGTTCAAAAATACCCTGTTTCAGAATTCGGTCCAAAAACGCCTTACCTCAGCTTTCGATTCAAAAACGTGCTATCTAAGCACATTTTCATAAAATTTTAATTTGAAATAGGGCGATTTTCAATAAAATTCTGAAGTAGGGCATTTTTGAAAAGTTTTCTGAGATAGGGCGTCTTCGAACTGGTTGCCGAGATAATAGGATTATTGCTACAGGCACTATATGTTACTATTTATTAATTAACCATTTGTTGCGATAAAATTCTAATTTTTCAATAAACTACATACAACTATATTTTGTATATTATTGTTATAATTGCCTTTCAGAGTCATTCACCCGCCGACTGGTCGTTGGATGGAAGTATCCAGCAATCAACCAGGCGTACAATTCTACACCTCCAACTATTTGCCGGATGAAGAAAAAGGCGAGGTAAGTGAACAAAGATTACACTGTTCTGCAAAACAAAAACGCAATATTTACGACAAAAGACATACATATATATTACACACGTACATCAAATCCAGCAGCAAAACATTTGTCTTAAATTTTTTGGACACTTCAAATGGCTATGTAAATATTAAAAACCCCTTTCGCTCTTAGATACTTGAAGCGAGAGCCTGAGGGAAAATATTTCATATCGGAAATAGTTGAAAACAACCAATTCGCATTTCAAGTCGGAAAGAACAATTTTTTTTATAAAAATTTGAAGCATTCAAACTATTAAAAAAAGGAACAGTCCAGCGCCTTCGTCTTGGTCTGCAGGCTGTATAGGAGATACAGCCGCTATATTTAAACATAGAATACGTGGTATGGTTAAGAGCATATCCAAGTCAAAAACGAAATCACACACTAAGAAAAAAAGGGTTTTTCCAAAATTTTACAAATTTACATACTTCTAAGTGAAAAGAACTCAATGAGAATATAAGCGAAAGCCCTATTTTTATTTTTATTTTATACCATTGTTTTTTTCTACAGCTTACTGAGATTTAAAGATTTGAAATTTTGAACAGAAAAGATATTTATTGAAAAAAATA